CCCACAAATAATAAAAACAGACACTGTCGGTAACCTATCACATGCATCAGGAATATCAATAATGATCCTCTCTCTGACCTTCAGGTGTGACAGTTCAAGCCCTGTCTACGGTTCCTGTCATGTTCAATTACTGGGTGAGTCAACTGACATGACGTTAGCGCTAATTATATAATCATATATATATTATTTATATTTACATGTTCAGTCTTCTCAGATGAGACGTTCATTTCCTTTTTCTTTTTTTGGTTTCAGGCCAAACCCCATGACACACTGGATCTCTGTGTCCTTTTAAATGACAGTTTGGCCGACGTGGTGCGTGGCCACCCGAAAAGGTTTGTCGGTCTGGGAACGTTGCCCATGCAAGCGCCTGACTTGGCTGTGCTGGAGATGAGGCGCTGCGTGAAGGAGCTGGGCTTCCCCGGGGTGCAGATAGGCTCACATATTAATAACTGGGACCTGGACGCCTCAGAACTCTTTCCTTTTTATGCTGTGAGTCACTGCACACCATAGTATTTGTCGTCAGTCGTCTAAGAAGTACTAACGTTGTACTTCATTTGTTTAAGATACACTTGTGAAGGACTGTTGACCAGAGCCGCTGCTGCTGGTTCTTAACGAGAACTCTTACTTGTGTCCTGTTTCCTGTCCTTCTTCCCACAGGAAGCGGAGGAGTTGGGCTGCTCCATATTTGTTCATCCATGGGATATGCAGACAGATGGGAGGATGGCTAAATATTGGCTGCCCTGGCTAATAGGTGAGGAGGTGACGTACTGTAGGAGGAGAAGAAAGGAATCATTTATATATTTACTGTACAAACTGCAGCAGAGTCTCCAAGGAAATATGTTTTTAAAAATGTTAATAAACTAAATAGCTTTTATATCATAATTTATGGTCAAAACCTTTTCCCTCAGCACGTATTTAACATTTGAAACATTTTCATAAAACATCATAATAATAACAATCGTCAGTAACTCAGACTTTAACGGATGCTTCTTTGATACACAGTCACTGACATGTCAGTTGTACCCGTAGGTCACGATGTTCCCAGCATTCATTTCAACGTGTCTGTGTTAAACACACAGAAGGAAGTTTACACTGAAAACACTTTAATTTGTTTTTGTCCTGTTTTTCCTCACAAAGGCATGCCCAGCGAGACCACCATGGCTATTTGCTCAATGATATTTGGAGGTGTTTTTGAGAAATTTCCCAAACTGAAAGTCTGCTTTGCACATGGAGGTACAGAACCCTGGACCCAGATGTTTTTAAAAAATAGATTGTTTACTTTATTTTAAAAAAGAAGTACTTTTTACTTACTTTTTTTATTGCTGTACTCCTGTTAAACAGAGTTGTTTTTTTCCGGTCGTCACAGGCGGTTCCTTCCCTTTCACCCTGGGTAGAATTAAACATGGCCATGATGTTCGACCAGACCTGTGTGCAGTTAACAACAAGATCAGTCCAGATAAATACCTGGGCTCGTTTTACACTGACTCACTGGTTCACAGTCCCACCTCCTTAAAGCTGCTCATTGATGTTATTGGGAAGGTGAGCTTCAATCAGTTATAAAACACACCATGAGTTCAACAGCGCTGTGTTGTCTGGGTGAATTATCTTGTTCCTTTTCAGGATAAAGTTATGCTGGGAACAGATTATCCATTTCCACTTGGAGAGCTGCAGCCTGGATCACTGATTGAGTCCATGGAGGAGTTTGATCCACTCTTGAAGGTAACGACATTTCTGAATGGGTTCAACAATGTCATCGATAAAGAAGTGTTTTGATATTCAGTGAAAAATATGTAATCTGACCTATGTCAAAAGTGAAAAATGACAAATAAAGTGGACAAAATGAAAATACTTGTCTTTAATCTGGTGTTCTGCTGTTGCAGGATGACTTGCTCGCTGGAAACGCACTGGAATTCTTAGGTCTGAAACGAGAACAGTTTGAGTGAAATGAAAGTTTACTCAGTGAGTTGGTGAAAAAGCCCTTATTTAGTAAAAATAGATATTTAAATAGATAATGCAATCTTAATGCTGGATATTTTTTATTTCAGAAGATTTGTTATCTTTGAGATAACTAAAAATCTAACATCTAAAAAAACAAAATTGTATAAAGTAAATTATTGTGGTTGTATTAATATGTACACATTTATTAATTTAGTAACATGTATACTTGTGAATTCTCCATGCACAATTTCTGTATGTAATTACTGAGATATTTAAATAGATAATGCAATCTTAATGCTGGATATTTTTTATTTCAGAAGATTTGTTATCTTTGAGATAACTAAAAATCTAACATCTAAAAAAACAAAATTGTATAAAGTAAATTATTGTGGTTGTATTAATATGTACACATTTATTAATTTAGTAACATGTATACTTGTGAATTCTCCATGCACAATTTCTGTATGTAATTACTTACTGTGATATATGTACAATGACAAATAAAGCTGCTTATCATTTGCTTCTTCTAATATCAGTGTGGTTTGAATGAAAGTTATCAAAGATTTTTTTAATGATAGGCAAACAAATAACAAAAGTAACTATATCCCCAAAATGACATGTGTTTAAGTTTGAAATATTATCATAAACATGACAAAAGCAAAAGTTCACTGGCATTCACTTGGCTATGCCAGTGAAATGATCAGGAGCTGCTCTATGAAATAAAATGTATTATTATTATAAAAGTAAGTCCGTCTTATAAAGGTCTTACGTCATCATGTTGTGTAACAACGATTTCTCTGAGGGCAATGAAGTGGATTACACACGCTATTGTAAATTTAAATATATGTAAACAACGAAAAATAGCGTCATAAAAATTCATAAAAATTGTAAAAATTAAATTAACAACAACCGTTTAGTATTACCGGTACAAATATCTGTTACATGTAGATGTGACACTTCTCCTCGGAGGGCCTTATCGAGGAAAAAGCAGCGGTTTCCTGTACCATGGTGTCGTCACATCCGCCTCGCAGATGCCCACCGTCAGGAAGCAATGGCGGCTTGCCGGGGATCCTCGTCGAAGTGGTATTATACCCGGGAGCAGCTGGAAAGCACGCCGTCTCGTCAGTGCGGAGTTGAACCAGATCGGGAGCTCTCCTACAGACAGCAGGCGGCGAATCTAATCCAGGACATGGGCCAGAGACTCAACGTGTATCCTTAGTAAACAAACAATTGTCCGCGTTAGCCTGGAATTAGAGATGGCGCCGACGGAGGCAGAGGGCCTGTGTCGGCTAATGTTTAACCCAGAGCTGATGTTGGCCAGGAGAGTATTTTACACTTATTGTACCCCGTTGCTTTTGTACTCAAAACGCAGTATATTGTAAAACATGTATTGTGTAGTTAGGACTAAATTGTTGTAGCGTTGGCTGTGGTGTCCTGACTGCTCTCAGCAGCGTGTCCACAGGCTAACAGGGGCTTCACGTATCGAAGGCCATTAGCTTCGCAGCTATAACCACATTTCAGTCATGTGAAACTGTGCGTGGCTTTTGGCCCAATTTATAACCACATTTCAGTCACGTGAAACTGTGCGTGGCTTTTGGCCCAATGCGGCCAAGAATAACTATTTACTTTACGCTTCGTTAAAAAAATTGTACCAGACGGTGTATTATATCAGAGTTTATAGACTTACTTGACGTAGCTTGTGTCGTTAGCTTAAAGCTAAGCGACGTAACGTGCCTTGTTGAAACCACAGTGCAGGCTGCTGTGACGGTGTTTAACTTGTAACGACGCAGTTTACGATTTAACGCCTTAACCTCCTTCATCCAGCTCTCAACTGACGATAAATACAGCCATCGTTTACATGCACAGATTTTACATGCACCACTCTTTCACTAAGTTTCATAGAAATGTAAGTATGTGTTTTTATTGTTTTATACTCTTCAGGTGAACTATACAACTATACAAAAAATAATGATAATAATGACACCTTTCTTGTACACAGATTACATCTCCAACCACCTTATTCTTGGCTGCTAAGGTTGAAGAGCAACCCCGAAAACTGGAACATGTGATCAAAGTGGCACATGCCTGCCTGAACCCCCAGGAACCACCTCTAGACATTAAAAGTAACGTAAGTCTGGGAAGCTCTGGATCTTGTGTGGATAAAATGCTTTCCCCGTAAACTGTACATGACGTTCAAGTTCTACACAGGCTTTCCTGTGTATGCCGTGTTACTTCCTCTTGGTCTGTATAAATGGCCTGTTTTTGCTCACATGCACTGTTGGTGGTGTGTATCAAACACCTTGGCCTGAACAGTCTTTAAGATAATGGTAAAACCAGCCTCTCTGTGACAGATTCTTTCTTTAGAGGGGTTAGAATAACAATAGACTCATTACAATTGTGTTGTAATGACTGTCTATCAAACTTCAGGCATACCTCCAGCAAGCTCAAGAGCTGGTGATACTTGAATCCATAGTGCTGCAAACCCTGGGTAAGTAACGGTGACTGGAGTGGATGACTTGAGCGAGAGAGAGCACTTCTGTTTATCAAAGTAATGTTTTGGCCTTACGTAATTTAAATAAGGGAAAAGTGTTGATTACTGATTACTGTTGATTTGACCTTTTCAGCAGATTTATCACATTGTGTGGGTGTCTTGTCAAATATGTTATTTTTTTTCAGTAAATTAGGTTAAGGTGACATGTCATTGTCCAGTCTTCCAAATGTTTCTTGTTCTATTTGATAAAAAGATAGTTGTAATGAATCTGTTGATGAATTTGTCAAAAAGTACTATTGTTTTACTGCAATATTACTGCACACAATGACATGTCACCTCCCAGCTGACTGTGTTGAACTCACCTGTCATGTATTTTGTTCCAGGCTTTGAAATAACTATTGATCACCCACACACTGATGTGGTGAAATGTTCCCAGCTAGTGCGAGGTAGAGGCTTCCTTCTTTGCTCTTTGTGCCCTCTGGTCTTGTTTGTCCCACCTAAGATAAGGGTGGGGAGGGGGGTGAAAACCTTGCTGGTTACATGACGACTCACCGTCTGCTTTTGACGACTTTGTTATGTCATGTTTTATGTTTTTATAGTTTAACAGATAATTTGTACAAAACAACACATTCTGGACCAAATCCAGATTCTTAGGATTTATTCTTTTCTTTCACCATTTGTTTCCCAGTAAAAAAATCTGATAATCAAAATTGATCTTTCCATAAGTTAATACTGTGTGTTTCAGACTTGGTTTTTCCATAATCAAATCAATGCTTCCTTTGCTTCAATCTTTGTTCTTAAAAATGCAGCATCCTGTCAATGTGCTAACTATTACACCGGTTTCTTTTTTTTTTCTCTTTGTGTCTTGCAGCAAGCAAGGATCTGGCTCAGACTTCCTATTTCATGGCTACCAACAGGTTGTTATCCTGCCCCTCCTTTATTGCACTTTGACTGCACACCATAGCTTCCTGTAATGCAGGGTACCCTTTCCGTGTCCAACGGGCCCTACTTGCGCTGGTGGTTGTTGGGACAATTGCCTGCCCCTCGACTCCTCTTCCTTGTGCAAAGGAAGATGGACAGGGCGACTTGCAGTGTCACTAGCCCCAGTCGCAGTGCGGTGTATTGTACAAGGGACCACGTGTTGGCACAGATGGGTTGAATGCAAGATGTGAAGTGTAGTGGTGCGCTTGAAAACCCCACATGTTTGTTCGGTTGCGAAAAAGTGCATAATTCTAAAAGAGAAAGACACTTTGGTAGCCTGAATAGCAGCTAAAGATTTCACGATGTAAACATTTCTCGTAGAGGTCTTCCGGTAAGTACCACAAATAATCTCTTGATTTCTTTTTTTTCTTCTCCATATTTAATGATAATGTATTAACAAAGGGCTGTCACTTTTTCCAAAAATTGAAGAAACAAAGTCATGCTTACATAGTTAAGGCTGTTTTTCCACTTTGGGGGGACACTACACGACTTTGACAGACTTTACAGACGTTCCTGTTCTTTACGGCGATTACGGCAAACTGATATTTGGAGTTGTTCCTGTTCTTTACGACGATTACGGCAAACTGATATTTGGAGTTGGGATAAAAGTGACAGCCCAGTTACAACTTCCAGATATTTAAAACTTTTACTGGTTGCGTTTGTCTAGTTTATATCTTCAGTTTATTCTGCTTGTACTTGCTGTAAAATTACAGGAGCACAACCCATTAAGGACCTGACAAATATATGTTAAATAATATATATTTGACAAAATATTATCATCATGAAATCACAAAAATTCTTAACAACTTTGTATAAAGTTAAACAAAGTATAAGAAAGGTCCTTAAAGGGATTGATCAAAGGAGACTTTTGAAAAATTTTAGCAAAAATTCTGTTTAACCACACGTACACATGAAGTGTTAATATGTAGATGATGACTGAATGGTGTTTACTGTGTGTTGTCTTTTTCCTTGAGTGTTGACAGCAGGTGTGTTTTGTTTGTGGTAAATTAGGACTAGTTTGTCGTAGGCGTTCACGTTACATCTTCTACTTTGAGTTTTTACAGGTAGAAACTCAAAGTTGAATGTTGTTCAAATGAAGTTTCTCAAAGTAAATCTAGAAAAACATTTTTTTCTCCCTGCAGTTGATGTGTTAACGATGACTTGTCATATGGATTTTTTTTTCCTTTGTCAAATCACAATCTGTTTTGACTCGTTACTCATGTAAAATTGGTGGAGAGTTATTTAAGGTACACTGTGTAAAAATACAAACATGGAGAGGTGAAGTTGCAGGTTGTGGTTAAATTTCCTTCAACTCTTAAACCCATCATGTAGGAGGTTTATAATGTAAAAGGTATATAATAGGGATCCAACATGGCTGCCTCCAGTAAGAACCCTGCACTTGGTGCGAACATGAACAGGTTTAATTCTATGCAGATGATACATTCTTCCAGGTCAGTATGCACTCATAACGACATGAGAAAAATACTTTATTTTCTGAATACAATTGTCACCTTATTTGTTACACAGTGTACCTTGAACAGTGTTTGTTTGAATATATTTACATGGTGTTGATTGAGACTTAGTGTTTTTATTCTGATGGGAATTGAAAGATGATGCTTGACTGGTCACACAACAAATATGGCCTATTAAGATGAGGCTTTACTTCACTTTACCTTTAAAGTATTTCCTAATAAATTCTATTTAAATCCAGGTGTTGTACATTGCGGTACAAACCTACACAGTCAGATAATTGACGTTCAAATAATGAAACTAGTAAATTAAAGCTGTCCGCTCCCTCTCTGTTCTTTTTCTCCTCTCTCCACATGTGGGACCGTCGACGACCTTTCCTGCGCCCACAATCAATCACTCCTAACGTACGTCTCACACACACTGTGCAGTCTACACCTCACAACCTTCTGCCTCCAGTACAAGCCCACGGTGATAGCCTGTGTTTGTATTCACCTGGCCTGCAAATGGTCCAACTGGGAGATTCCTGTTTCCACTGATGGGAAACACTGGTGGGTTTACGTGGACAACACCGTCACTCTGGAGCTGCTGGACGGTGAGATTGGATATCTGTTATCACCATAACATAATCATTATTATTAGACCTGTCTTTAAACACATACATTTTGTATTTTGTCTAAAATATTATTTTTTTTGTTCCTTTTAGAGTTGACCCATGAGTTTCTGCAGATTTTGGAAAAGACACCCAGCCGTTTAAAGAGGATACGAAACTGGAGGGTTGGTCTAATTTTTTTTTTTTTTTTTTACATTTCAGATTCAGTGTTTTCTCTCCTCCACCTCTAAATATTTTTTTTTATTTTATACATCTTCTATTTGAACTCTGTATGTTGTCTTTGAGGTCATTTTGAACCCTTTTTTTATTCTCTTAGGCAACACAAGCTTCCAAAAAACCTAAGACTGACAGCAGTCAATTGATTGACACCTCTTTCTCTGGACCTTCCCTACTTCAAGACCAATGTGAAACCGCCCTTTCTGGAGGCTCCTCCTCCAACGTGAGTTTTTCTAAAGCTGGCCTCACCTTCACAGCATCGATTCCCAGAGATTCCTCCATGACTCTTGACTCCATGACAGGAACATATAATCCTGGCAGCCACAGTGAGTGGCCCCAGGTCAAACAAAGCCAAGTAGGATACCCTCCCATCTGTGTAAAGCAGGAGCCAATCGAAATCCCTCACCAGGAGCCCACTTTGTCTCTGCAGACATCCACCTCGTCATTACTTCAGAATCCAACAACATACAGGATTGACAAGGCATTAGACTTTATACCTTTTACACAGGAGCCCAAAGAAGCCGGTGGGGTTGGACTTGGTAAGCACCAACCACCACCCCCTCAGTCCACGTACCATCCCTCAGCCCAGCCTCCTCCTCCATCACCATCTCCAGCTCAGAAACTGTCTCTCGACAAATACAGAGAGAAGGTTGCTGCGGAGATTTCTGTCTCCGGGCAGAAATGTCGGCAGGATCAGCATGGAGCTTCTGTAGATTGTGATGTCAAAGGGGAGTTGTCGTCGTCTTCCTCAGTTTCTTCCTACGGACCAATATCTATGAGCCATGTAGACCACAGAAAACACCCACAGTCCAACCAGCTGCCCTACACTGGGACTGGGGGCACGACCGTCTCGCCAATGAAAATCAAAGTTCCTTCTTCCTCGACTGCAGGGGTGGGCAGATGTTATCACAATGACAAGCAGGACAAGGCGATGCCCAAACTCCGCCTGGCTCTGCCCGGGGGGTCGCAGCTGGATAAAAGTGGACAACCCAGCAAAGATGAGCTGAAGATGAAGATAAAGGTTTCATCGTCAGACTGCCACGCCTCAGCCGATAAAGGCACGTTAGTCAACAACAAGAGTAAAAATTCTGTCGGTAAAGACAAAAACCGTGGCGCCGAGCACCACCCGCATCGACATCACAAGCACGCCCACTCTCACTCGCACAGCGGCAACGGACGAGGAGGCCCTGAGCTCCAGGGCGGTGTCGGGGGTCATCTTCGTGGAGCTCCAGGATTGATCAGCATGGAGGGTGTCTCGCACGCTCCTGGTCCCGGGTCCATCTCACTGTCTGCGTCCTCGTCCCGGAAGAGACCGTACCCTGAGGTCAGCTACAACCACCAGTTCTCCTCCTCATCCTCAACTTCCAGCTCGAAAACGAGCAAGATCACCAAGGGGGGCCCAGGTGCCGCAGGTATTTCATCTTCCTCCTCCCTGTTTCCCCCTCATTCCTCTCCTGTACTGCAGTGTGTCTCATCTGGCTCGCAGCTCCTTGGCTAATCTTCCTTCCTCTGTCCTTTTGTCCTTTATTCTTCTTTCTCCTCCTCCCATCCTGTCACACCCAGGTGGGCTGCGGACGTCTCAGCAGTACCCTCCACCTTGTGCTTCGCCACATGAAGCGGGTGAGCAGAGACACTGAGACTACGCCCCTGCGTCTGTGGTCGGCTCTAGTCAACTCACAGTTGAGACTTAAAGGACTGTGCTCACCTTCTTGTCAAGTGCCCTGAAAAGAAAAAAACACCTTAAATTGAAAAAAAAAAAACCTTTACCGAAAGGAAGAGAACATCTCCCTGAAATCACAAAATTATGGTTTGTCTAAATTTCTATTTGAGGAAGAAAAATAATCATGCTTCCTGACTTTTTGGGCTGTGATGCTCAGTGTTTTTTTTTTCTTCTGTTAGTGTGTCGTGCAATGTCTCACTGCAAGAGGTCAAGTGTTTGTTTCTATCAGGTAACTCCATGGGGGGGCGGGGTGCAAAAGTATTACAAGTTGAGTTGAGTAATTTATAGTAATCACATTTCTAAAATTATGTTGAGGTACACAGTTCCCACCTGGAGATGATTAAAAGTTTTCTTTGCCGGCATTCCACGTAGTACTTTTGATGGATGCATTATTAGGTGTACTAATCATCTCAATGACTTGGTCTTGACTTTTTTTTTTTTTTAAGGACTGTGTGTTTGATTTGCATGTTTCCATCTTCAAATGGAATTAAAAGGAGAGCACTTGCTGTTTACAGGAAGTGAAGATAAATGTACATACATTTTTGTATGGTTAAAGAAAAAAAAAAACTATACCGTGACTACTCAGGTTTGAAGCTGCTTGTAAGTATAACACAAATACTTCGACACCTATAAAGACTCATTCTGTTGATTCATCGTTTGGGCATCATCCTGTGAATGTTTGCAGTAGTGTGAAGTTCCCACAGCCTTCCAACAGGGGGTGCTGCACTCTGCTTTTTCTATTACAGGCAAAAATCAGTCGCACTCACCAACACACACTAACAAAACATTATGCTGTTTCTACCAAAAATATATTTTGAACTCTTAATAGAGCTTAAGATGGATGCCAAAGGTTTTGCCTATAAATAAGTACAAAAAAATAGTTTGCTAATAATGTTTACATAATTGTTTTATTTTCAAGTGCATCATGACATGGAACTGTAGCTCTGTAGATGTCAGAGATTTATGTGTTTGATCATTTGGGTTGATAAAAAAAAACAAAAAAAACAAATTTAATTTCAGCAACCCTTGTGGAAATGTTGACCTTTTGCAAAAACGCTGAAATTCAATTATTGTTCACTTTGGCACCCACAATCTCAGCCAAGCAAGTTTGTCTTTTCATCAATGCAACCCACGTGGACAGGTTTTAATTCTGTCTGCTTAACTAAGCTGAATATTTATTTTAAGATCTTTAGAGAGAGACGTACAGAACCAACGTAAAGGATTTTTCAAGTCCTCTCGTGACTTTGTTTTACTTTTCATTGCAATGTAAAATAAAACCTTAAATGTGTTGTGGTTGACACACAGTATGCATTCACATTGTTGCTGTCATTCATTACATTTTTTTATATGTACACGACCGTAAATGAAATTATTTTGAAGGGATTTTTTTAATTAGGGCTTTCAATATTTAAATACTTTAATCTGATTAATCGCAGTGTTGCTCAGGATTAATCATGATTAATTGAGACAGGTAAACATTCCTAAATATTTGTTTTAGCTGTATATCACAGACAGCAGCAGGTAGATGTCAGTGTTTCTCACTTGTTTTTATTTGTGACTGACCAAATGATGGAATTATTAATATGGAAATATGTGCTAATGTACAGGTGTCATAGAGTTGGTGTATTTTATTCATTACTGTCAGTCGGCTTGTCAGTCGTAGTCTTACCTCAGACTGGTCTGACCTGAAGCTAAAGTTTTTCCCAACAGTGTGTGTGCAAATAACCGGTATCAGATCAGTGATAACAGTGGATAGACGGTGGTATTATTGGATATACAGCGTTGTTCATTCTGCCCATGTGTTAAAAATGTGAATCCGAATCATTTCACAGTCACCTATATTTCGACAGCTTTACTTTAAATGTTAGCTTAAGTCAGTGAGGATCAATCTGTGGCATCTGATTAAGAATACTTTTCAGAATTTACAAAAATCATCATGTTAGGAACAAGTGGTCTGCATCAGTCCATGTCCCACACAAAGACACACGGTTGTCTACAGACTACCATGTCTGCTGTAATTGTACAGTAAGATTGGCATATTTATCCATTTACATTGCTATATATAAAAATCATCTATATAAAAAGCATGGTTAACAGATGAGTGCTGTGGGTATTGTTGCACTTTAAAAAAAAAAAACCTTGGATCTTGGACAAATGGCCAAAGAGTCAAAGAGGAATGAGTGTTGTTTCATCTGTCTTAAAAAAAAAGAAAATCAATAAATGCGCCCTTTAAATTCAAAGCTCTTGTGTTTGTTAACCACACTGTCCCTTCGAGTGGCAACAGCAGTTTCTTGTCCTACAGGTGTTGACTCCGGTCTGATTTCTGGGGAGGAATGAATGCCTTAGCAGCTGCTCTGCAGATGGACGGAGTCTCTGGTCACTGGAGTGGAGAGGAGACAAGGGAAAATTGTGAGATTGAACCTTTTTCCCCCCCAAGGAAGTGTTAGCTGACGTTCATCAGTTGATGTCATAACTCACCTGGTCAAACAAAACTGGACAAAGTTTTTCGCATGTTCCGAGAACCCGTCAGGTAAAGAGGGCATCAACCCGCTCTGAGCGCCAATGAAGAACAGAGCAGCCATCCTGTTCATGTGGGCCAGTGGTGGTTTCCCTGTGGCCATCTCAAACACCGTGCAGCCCACGCTCCATATGTCCGACTTACTGCCATATCCTGTCTCATTGATGACCTTAATGGAAACATGGAACTGTTTATATATGATATCGGTGATACCAATATCATGATACCAATGTATATCCAATATCAATACTGTAAATTTAACACTAGTCTAGAGTAAAAATGAAACCAACCTCTGGTGCCATCCAGTACGGTGTACCATGGACGGACTTCAGCAGGTCTCCGCTGTTACTCCCTGTGTGGTTCACATAGCTGAGACGACGTGCACATCCAAAATCAATTAGTTTGATTACACCTGTAGGCATCAGCATGACGTTGTTTCCCTTCAAGTCCCGGTGGATCACCCTGTTCAGGTGAAGGAAGGCGACGCCCTCCAGGATCTGTTGGGTGTACAAAGCCAAGACCCTCTCTGGGAGAGGACCAAACCTGTGGGCCAAAAAGAAAATTGATCAGAGGGAGTTTGAGTGGCCATCTCTTCTCTGGTTTGGAAAACGGAGCGAAGGTCACCTGTGGAGGATGCTGGCGATGGACCCCCCAGGGACGTACTCCATGAAGATGGAAACCACATGTTGATACAAAGATGTTCCTAGGAAACCCACGATGTTGATGTGTCTGAGTGTTTTCAGCAGCTCCACTTCTTCCTGCAGACGACTGTATTCGCCTTTTGCATCTTTGGGGTTGGAGGTGTCAAGACTGACCTGCTTCACCGCAATTAACTGACCCTGGTTGGTCAGGCCGCAGTACACCTGGTGAGAAGTACTAGTAATTAAATACCTGTGAATATCTGTCTACGTTCATTTGTACAGAATAGCTTGCATGTGTAAAAAAAAAAAAAACCTTCAGTAAACTGAAGAGAAAACACCCACTGTTCCATACGCTCCTCGGCCGAGCATTTCACCCTTGGTCCAAGTGATGCTGTTCTCTGAATCTGCCCCACAGCCCAGTGTATCTGATCTGTCTGTTGATATGAGCTGAGATACAGAAAGGTAAGAAAAAAATAAGACCAACTGAAATTTAAGGCAATAACCAGACTTTTGCACAATGTCCTTATGATGTGAGAAAAAAAAAAACGTCTTTATGATGTGATCTGTGAATGTAGTTGGAAATGAGAAAAAAAAATTATTAGTAGTTTAATGTCCCCGGTTTTAACCAAAATCTGTTTAAAACTAAGAAAAGTCGTCCTGTAAATCATATTATTACTTTATTTTGTGTAAAATACTGTAAGTGTGAGTATATTGTAAATATATTTATCATAAAAACAATACAGAGCCGTCTGTTGACGTAAATAAATAGTTTTTTTCTCTTGGATTGTGCTGCTTTCAGTCGCTTATGCTCGAGTTCTTTTTATCCAATCATATTGTGTTGCCAGGGTGAAAACAAATCTGCCTTAAGACCTTCAGAAACAGCGGTGTGTGCAGCAACAGCTTAAAGTGAGTAGCGACAGAGTTATTTCTTTAACCAATCAGCTTTTGTGTTAACGGCACCAACTCATTTTGGCGGGCGTACAGTGACGTGAGCGATGTTTCAGTGATGTGATTGGCGGGTGGAAGACCGCAAAGTCTCCAATCTAGTAAACGGCAGCTATGGCGACTTGCTCGCTCGAAATTTAAGTATTAATTAAGAAGAAGAAGAAATTAAGAAGTATCCACTTCTTATGTCGAGCGGACGTTCTCAGGCAAGAGATTAGATTTTATGTCGTAAATACGACAGACTGGACTTTCAGCATTCGGAATGGACTTGAACTGGAACCCGCGGATAATCTGTACAATGTACAACGAGTAGTTAAACGCATCTTACAAATAATCTGAACTTTTGGTGAGTCAAATCAATTTTGTATTTTTAAATAATATTATATTTTTATTATGTTAATATTGTGGCCTTTTAATGTACATTATATCGTAGCTATGGTTGAATTGTGCTTCGTGGGTTTGTTGCTTTAGTAATGGCGTTATTATGGCTACATGAGTTAGCTAGGATGTTACTACTCGTTATACAACATTTCTGCTTAATATTCATGGTTTTTACTGCCATAATGACGTTATTATGGCGTGTTTTTGTTCAGGAATAGGTGAGAAATACACGGAAGGTCACTGTTTGATTTTTATTGCTCATTTGCTTACACTTAGTGTTGCTAATGGAAAATTCCATGAAGACAACTGATATAATTAATTCACAGTTGGACAAGAACGGCTGGACAGAAAAATCCTCCAGTTCTTGTCCAAATGTAATTAAATTACTACATATAAACTGTATTACCCCCGCCTTAAATACCCCCCCCCCTCGCCCTTTATTTATGGTTTATGTTGGGAGTTATCTTTGATTTGTTTCAGTCCAATCAAACAGATCTAAACAATCTTGTTTTTTAATAACCATTAAAACATTCGACCAAAATCCTAACCTCTGGGAAAGGATTCGTTCCAGTGACATAATCCTCTCTCTTGGATGCTGTCTCACTGGCGTCCCGGTGTTCCAGACTCAAACCCTCCGAAGCGTCCCTCTCCTCCAGAGAGATAAGCTCCTCAGCCAGGCACTGAAGCAGGTCATCAGTGGGCGGGCCATCTCCGACCTCGTCCAGAAACCTCTGGAAAACCGGTGACACCATAGTGTTGTTACTTCTGGAGGATGTCCAGCTACTGATCTTTGGCTGAGGGGACGAAGACTTGGGGTCAGATTTGAATTTTTCCTTTTCTGTTGAAGTCGTACCCGGGGTCACATGATGACCTCTTACATCCTGTGCAGTTGTTTGTGTTCTTAGCTTTTGGTCATCAGATTTTAATGTTTCAAACTCATGTCTTGAAAGGGCCTCTTTTGTTATCGGTAACGGATCTTCTTTGTTGAACTGTTGAGCACTTTTAGGACCTTTCTCCTGTTCAGAGAAAACTAACTCCGTCTCCACCTTAGCTGCACAGTCTTTCCTTGACGCAGCTTTGGAGGATCTGACTTTGCTTTTGGTTAGAACCACCATGCTTTCCCCGGGGATTCTTCTTAATTTCACCTGAGGTTGTCTGAACAGTTTGTGTTTGGGTTTGTGCGACTGCTGCGTCTTCCTTGTCATCACAGACTGCGGATGTCTGTCCTTCGTTTGAACAGAGGAGCTGGAAATCCTCAGGTTATCGTAGATGGGACCGGCGAACATCTCGTAGATGGCCGGACCTCCATCCACACTCTGTATCTTCTGAAACATGTCACTGTAGGTGATGAAGTCGAGAGCAGATTTGAACCTTTGTGTCCCGGCTACACTTTGCTTATTAATCCGCTGAGAGCACTTCAGGTCTCTTACTGGTGCTTTGGATTTTTCCATAATGCCCTCTGAATGATCAACCTTCTCTTGTGGTACTGAGGCGTCAGTACTGTTGTGAGTACTGCTTGGTTTTACTTTGACTGTGGCCTCTCCACTGACAAATAGCTCGGCGGTCTTCCTGGCTTTGTCCTTGATGCGAATGGAGAGAGAAGACCGCTTCAGGTGGCTGCTGGACTTATTCAGACTTACGTTAGTGGATGCTTTGAGTTTGTGATGCTTTGAGGTCGTTGTCGTCTCTCGGCTCCCGTCTGTGTTTTGACATTTGAACTTTTTCTCAACATTCATAAATGTCAGTTGATAGTTCGTATGCCCAGTTGACTGCTGAGATTTCCTGACAGCGGAGCTCATATTTGACTCTGGATGTTCATCACTGTGAAGCTCGGCTGTCAGTGTTTCTTCTTCTCTCTGTTGAATGGTCTTCAGGTCATTTCTGTGATCACCAATGGTTTCCTCATGGCAGCCGACATCGTTCTCTTCCTCGTCGATCCCTGATGAAGAAGTTATTTTACTGTTTACAGTCTCTCCATTAGGATTCATAGAGTTGAAGTTTTCGACAGGACTTTTTATATCAATGGCCGTTCCTTCACAGTGAAAGTGGAAAGCAGTCGTGTGACCACAGCTCTCTCCCTCCAAGTCATGTCCTGGTTTTTGAATTGGTGGGATTTGACTTTTATAAGTGTTCACCTCATCCACCAAATTTGTGGAGCTCAAATCCTTCCAGTGTTGCGACAATCTGTCTTTGACAAAGTGATGGTTGTCCTCTGAGATGCTGTCTCGTTCTTCGTCCTCCAGGTCGGTCGAGCTCTGGCTGCTGCTCTCCTCGCTGCCGCCCTTGTTCGCAGCCACAGATCCTGTTCCTGAGCTGCTTTGAGGCAGACGCTCTCTTCTCAACCAGGCCCTGGAGCGAAGCGAGCCACAGGAGATGGGCTTCAGAGGAAGGTGCTGCTTCAGTACGGGCTGGGCCTCGGTGTCCGTGAGCCTCCTGTTCAGAGGAGCCAGCTGCTTGGGGGTCCGGGGAGTTAGAGACAGGATGGGCCTCCGTGAGAACTGCAGAGGATATGGACACACATTTGAATGAATATGAAAAGGTAAGGTGTCAGAGGTGAAGGTGAGAGAGTGAAGTTGAACTCACTTTATGTTCATTATCCTGAGAAACCAATCCTAACAAAGAGGAAGTTAAAGAAAAAAGAAGTCAGTGTTGGACTTACTTGGAAATACTTTTGAAAATATACATTATTACAGTGGTTCTCAAACTGTGGTACGCATATCACTGGTGATACTTAGGCTCCAATAATGGTATGTAACGTGAATCTCTAATGAAATCTGGTAAATAGTTGAGGTTCATTAAATTAGGAATAAAAAAAAAACACTGATCTTGGCTCCAAACTGGACCAGTCAAACAAAAGTAAGGATCTGTTAAAAATAATGTAAAAAAAAAAAAGGAACACTGATGTGTCATGGTCCGATCCAGTACGTACTGTTGTGGATGTGAACTCTGGCCTGCATCATAGTGTTAGAACCCAGGAGTGGTTCCATAATGCTGGGGGCGGACTGGCTGAGGTGGCCGACAGTCAGACGGCTGGGTGACAAATGGGAAACAGTCAGCACGCTTTTGGTCCTCGGTCTGTAAAAACAGATTCATGTGCAGGTGTGAAATGTGAATGTTCTACAAATTTGGACCACACCAATTCTAGCCAACCTGACTGAAAGATTACCTCTGTATCGGGGGTATTGGGATGCAGGACGTGTTAGTACTGAGCAAACCACCAGAGGAAACCGGATCGACGCGGCTCCAACTGCGGCTGTTGTTGTTTAGGCTCGGGAGACACAGTCCTCTACAGAGAGAACAGAGGAGAACACACAGGAGTCAGGTGGTTACTCCAGTCACGGAGTTATGGATTATAACAGTTTGTACAAATATCCAGCAGCACTGCAGCTAATACCCCCGCACCAATAAGTCGTCTGAAATCTGAAAAATGCTCGTAATTGCAAAGAAAAAAAAACTCTGCTAGAAAATGTTACTGGTTCTTTCTGGATTAGAGTAAATATAACTAACTAACACAAAAAGTTATGTTTCCCAAGTTTGAGACTTTTATTAGTATAAGACTTATTTCACTGGTGTAAAGCTTTTCACACTTTGTTTAAGATTCCTTTTTTGCAGTATTTTATAGACGACAGAAAACAAATTCACAATTAAAAAGCGATACTAAATAAGAAATAATTTGTCTGAAATAATTTTATTTTTTCTCTGCGTCGACGACTTTTGTTGGATCTGTACAGTAGCTGTGAAATAAGAAACCAGCTCTGAGTCCCTTGTTCTTCTGGGAGAGGCTGAACTTGTTTCTCTGTTGAATCAGACAAAGGGCTGATTCACCCAACATCCCCCCTCCTCCTCCTCACCCTGCTCCCCCCCCTCTTCTCCACTCTTTCTGACCTGTTTGTGTAGAACCGTTTGTCTCCTGGACACTGACAGGTGCTGCTGTACTGGTCTTAGTGTAACTGGAGAGGAAACTGTTCTGCTGCCCCTGGGTGAGGTGCAGCTGTGGGTGACCTCAGAAGGTGTGTGTGTGTGTGTGTGTACAGGGAGTGGTCAACAAGTTCTAAGACAGACAGGGCTGTCAGAACGTTTTGTTGAGGCTCCGACTACAGACTTGTCTCAGAAACAATTTTGAGCCTATTTTCCGTTATCTATTTCAACAGTATGTTGATTACTGATGATCCTGATTAATCACAATTAATTCAAGATTGAAAAGTGTAAATCATTTGACTGCACTAATCTGAAGTCACTTCTCTGACCTCTGACCTGGTTTCAGTCATCACCATCAAAACACCTGCAGAGAGACACACGTCTGTCTTAGAACTTTTTGACTCTATTTAAACCCTTAAAAACCTTTCAGACCATTAATTCATATACATATTTTTGGAATTAATTTAAGAATAGTAGTAGCAGTAGTGTGTGTGTGTGATGAGTGTGTGATGCCCTCTGACCCACCTGCTGCTCCTCCTGCCCTGGTGGACTGGCCCAATGTCTGTCAGTGTTTCCATGGTGTTCTGGAAACACAGAGGGATCCCCTTATCTGCTGCAGACAAACATGAAACCACAGTCAGTCCTCCCAGCCCTCCATCCACTGAACCACAGTCAAACCCCCCCAACGTCAAAATTAATTGCTCCAAATTCAACAAATACCAATTCTGTAAAATTTTAATTTTTTAATATATATATACTTGTTATAGAAGATTTGGTTGCTGGAAAAAAAACACACACTAATGGTTCGAACCTCTGTGTGGTTCCATATGTCTGTGGTCCGGCCAATCACAACTGGCCGAGCTTTGATCACATCATGGTTTGACAGTCCAAACATGCGTTCAGGTAGTGAAGCCTCGACACTTTTTTTATGTGACAGTTTTCCTGCTCAGTGTAAGAAACCGTGATGCGTTACCTGAATCTGAGTCCTCTGGTTCTTCCTGCTCCCATTCTCATTCATATCAATCCTGCTGTTGGTTTTAGTTTCTCTTTGACTAAAACCTCAGGTTTGTGTTCTTTACCTTTTCCGTCCGTCCCTGCTCCACAGTCTTTCATAAGTTCTCCTGTCCTCCCTGTGCCTCGGCCATGCTGCTGTGGCCGAGGTGAAAGACCCACACTCAGCTGAGAGGTGGTATTGTGTGTGTGTGTAGCCCCTCCCACCCCATCACGCCCTCTCACTCTTACATAAAGAGGTAATTTGCCCCTTCAGCTAAATCTGAATGGTGTTTTAAAAAAAGAAAAAACTGCAAAAACCGTGACCAATATATGGAAGTGAAATAAAACAGAGTTCTTGCCTTGGCTGACATCTTTGTCAAGGTCTGGCTGAGGAGAGAACCTGGAGTCTAGAACCTCCTGGAAGAACACAAAACAGAAAATGTCCCAATGTTAAAAAAAAATAATAGTCATACATTATTATATTTAAAAAAAAATCTCATTAATATATGCTTCATCTTCTGTTTTTTTTTTTCAGGACTGTGTGAAGATAAAATCAATCGACCACAAACAGGAAGAAGAAGAACGTCAGTCAGTGGACAGACTGTTGTTGTTGATCTTCTCACTTTGTATTTACAGTAAGTCAGAAGTTTGTGTGTGTGTAAATATATATGTGTATATACACACAAATATATATATATACATACTATATATGGTGCTATATATAAAATAGCTCTAATGTTAGCTACTATTGTTTTTACTCTTTTAACATTGAGATAAAAAGGATTTTTTGAGAAGGTCAGTTTGTAGAATCTGAGGCCACAGTCACAGATATATAATTTTTTTATTTATTATTTAGTTTTTTAAATATCATCACATTTTGACTGGCTGTAAATACAGAAATGGTTCTTGGTACTGATGGCTGCACACACACACACACACACACAGAGGCTGGTGTCAGTGTAATGTGTGTATCTGTATCTGTTCCCTGTCAACCACCTGCTCTTCCTTCCCCTGTTGACCAGCTGCCATGTTTGTTTGCTCCTCCAGTTAGAGCAGCCTCAGCCCTGGAGCATGGCAGTAGGGTGTCGGCTCCTTAAAGCAGCCCTCCACCACAAACACAAACAGCCCCCTCCCAAGTACCCCTCCCAACCCCCCATCATCTCCTGACTGGCCACTCACTTCCACTCTGCACACGTGTTCGTTGATTGTTTAACATTGACTCTGTTTATTCAAACACACACACACTCACACACACACAGGGGTCTAAATCCAGGTGTTGTATAAACACTGTAGAGGATTTGTGTGTCTCTTGTTGTGTGTGTGCTAATTAACTTCAGAAATGCCAAATCCAAAAGAAGAACTTCAATGTTCACCACTGACCTCAGGGTCGTGGTACAGGAGGAGGCCTGGTTGGAGATGGTGCATCAGTGTGGGGGAGGCAGCTGTGGAAGGGTGAGGAGAAGGGCTGTCACAGTCCACCTCTGTGTCGCAGTCCTCGAAGTCTGAGTCTGGGCCGTGGGGTGAGTATTTGTCAACAGGTGACGACGACGACGACGCAGCATCTGAAAGGTGTAAAAATATTTAGACTGACACGTTTAACTGTTTGTGGTCACCATATGAACTGCAAGCCATATATTTATTATCCATTTTGTTCTTTTCCTCACTCTGCTTTTTTTCTGACATTCCCTTGCACACGTACAGATTTTCAGACTTGTTTGTGGAGAGAGAATGTTGAGCAAAGAAAATCTGTAAACCCTCGTGTCCTACACAAATATTTGTTAATAGTATTACTGTAGTGGTATTATAGTGTCTAAGAGGCATGAGCCAATCACATGTTGTTGTTGTTGTTGTACCTCTGTGATGTAGAACTTCAATCATCATATGCATGATCTCTTCCTTCACTGGGCTGTTGATGCTGTCAGCATGATGGAGGGCCGAGCAGCCGCTGCGGTCTGGCTGCTGCACGTCGCTGTGTAGGAAGTAAAAATGAAGTTATTTCTTATATTTGTTTTCATCACTTTACATGCCATACATTTGTAAATGTTGATTGAGCTAACAAAGTTACCAATAAAAAGCTAAAAAAATAGCCAATGTTTTAGCAACTATCTAAAAACATCAAGTCCTTTCATTTGGACTCGTTTTAAGAGTCGTATATATGTTGTTTATGACTCTTTATCTTCTTTTATTTCACAGGTCAGTGCAGACACAGTAGTGATGAACGTCGTTCTTACGCCTCCACTCCCAGCAGAGCCTTGACCACCTCCACAGGTCTGTGGTCCCACGGCAGCCATGTGACCATGTCCTCAAACAGGTCGATGTCCCGGACCGAAAGCATCAACGCAGTCACGCCGTCACCGTTTGGAGCATTCACATCCAAACTGTCTGCCCCCGTCTGGAGTGTGGACACAGGTGAGCATTACAGGACAAATGTCAACATTTAATTGGATGATAAGTATACATTGGAACAGAGGGATCTACATTTGGAATCACTAGAGAAGACAGAAAAGAAAAAGAAAATGAACCAACACCAGGAATATTGGACTGGGAGTTGGTGAGAAAAAATCAATAACTGTTGACAGAGGAGATTGATACGGGATCAGGGGAGGAAATATTGAGATATTAACTTCAGAAAAAGTTTTGTTGAGATGATTGTTTTTGCATTTAAAGTTAACATATGGAATGGTTTCCGACTGTTCAAAAAGCTACTAAATCGGATAAATCAGAATCGTACCAGCAGCTGCTGTAAGGTGTGAATGTCTCCCTGCCAGGCTGCCTGCAGCAGCTGAGTCTGAGGAGGGAGATCAGGCCTCCG